CCCAGACGGATTACAACAGGTATGATATGTTTCCTTGTTTTGTTTACCTCGTGACCTATAAACGATAGATACGTGTGCTCAAAAAAACATTATTACGAACTTGCATTCATAAAAACTACATTTTACCTACCCACAGAGAGTTCTGACGGATATTCACACATGTTCAGCCTGTCATAAAAATGGCACGGTCTGCAACATCCCCTTTAACTTTTTTGGTTAGAGTAATTTCCCTTTCCTTGTGGGTTTCACTAAAATCATGCAGGGCAATCCCAGAAATAAGATCATTATTCCTTGGATATTAATCACATTGTAACACAAGCTGTTATTACTTTACCCTGCATCATCACAAAAGTATACATGACTTCACTACAATCCAGTTATCAATATGTATAATTTTAAATACATACCTTTACTCCCATCAAATTAAAACAAAATGATATTTTTGTAAATACACAACATCTCTGCGATCCAGTTATCAGAACATTTTTTTTAAAATACATCACTTCACCGACATCCAATTAGCAAAAAAAGATATTTTGAAGCCATTCATCTGAAATAAATATATTTTAGAAAAAAAAATTCAATTGAGAAGACTTAATGCAAATAGTCCCTACCAATCTTATTTCAGTTTTTACATAGTTATTTTAATGGCAAATGAAATATGATTCTAAATACATTCTGTATGTATGATATTTGTGAAAAGAAACACTTAATAGATGCAATGATTCGTGATCTTGATTATATTGTAGAAAAATGACACCTGCATTTAATGAATAGATAATTTACTAAATATACAAGATGCTTATAGCTCTTAGGTAAAAAAGACTTTCTAGTTTATATCCATTGTTACATATGTCATGTATATTTGTTTTGGAAAATATTTTATGACAAGACACTGCCCAATGTAAGTTCCAACTTCTCTTTGATAATGACATATGTTCAAATTTCATGTTTCTTTTAAGGGACAGATACTGTCAATAGAAAATTATTTTTTTTGTTTTGATTTTATTTCAGAGCACACAAGCGCACAAGATCTGTTGTAGAAAGGGGGATTGGTCAGCTGAAGCGAAGGTTTCATGTTTTGCATGGTGAAGTGAGGGTATGCCCAAAGAAAGCATGTAGGATAATCATTGCTTGTGCCATACTGCACAACATATGCAAGCAGAGGAATCTTCATATACCTCCTGATGAAGACACTGATGATGAGGGTGATGAGGATGGGGACAGTGATGATGGTGGAGATAGTGTTGATGGTTGCCTTCCTCCACAACAAATTTCCACCGTTGATGGACAGCGATACAGACAGCACTTCACAAATGTTCACTTTCAGAGTATGTAGCAACATTTATTTAGAAAATGCATGCAAATCAATACAATAATGATTTTGAAACAGCACCTTCAATATCTCTACTGTAACCATGTTAACCCTATAGAAATGAAAACAATTATGATACTGGTAAACATGTACAGACATGGTTCTTGCATTTACATATTAGATTGATCTGTCTTCATCTTTCCAATTTAAGCATTAACAGTTCTCTCTGGAGCTGAAGCACGTCAATCTGTAACAATTTTTTTTTCCTTGAAAGTTCTCTGTCACTGAGGTGTCCATTGCTTGTGCAGGGTAGAACTGGAGTGGTGAATGCTGCACAGCTGGGCTGGGGTGAAGATAGCACATCCAGGGGCAAGTGGGCCTCAGCTTCAACGACAGCAGCTTCCTGACTTCTGAAAGGAAATATCAATTTTTGAATGTAAAACTTAATGTCTTATCAAACAAAAGGAAAGATTGTTTACCTTTTCCCAGCCAAATTTCAGTTAATTAACCACTTACTCTTGTTATGCAAAAAGCATATATACTAAGCAGTCTTAAAAGGACAACTGTTTCAGTTGATAGAGTGATAAAAATCTTCAAACAAATATATTCTATAGAAAAATGCATTGCCCACAGGAATAATAAATGGGCTGCGTTTGAAAAAAATGGTTCCTCTGTCATATATTTATAAAGATGTCACTTGACTTCATGTTTTTCAAAAACACTATTTCTTGGCTTGATTTTTTATGCATAAACTTTGCGTCTATATGCTCTATCTGTATAGTTATTAACCATTGTCTTTGAATGCAACCATGCTTGTAACCTGATTTGCCGGAATGGAAAAAAAAAATGTTTACCTGTTTGATATGTCCATGACTTGCAAAAGGGTTGAATCGAAGCTCCCCTCAATTCCACTTATACTGACATTGGATTGGCCAAGAACATCATATACTGCTTCAGAAACAGCACTCAACTTGCTTGGACCAGGTCCTCCTCCTGCAATCATTTCAAACTTTTGAATGCTTATATACTTCTTGATGCATTTAATAACCAAGACCCAATAAATGGGGATAAAGAAATAAGTTGTTTTTTTCTCTTATTAATTTTGCATTGGTCTGTCTTTTGGTCAGGTGTAGGAAACATGTGAAATGTGAACATTCTTCTTAACACTGGTTCTATACTAGTGGCTCATGTCTACTGTCTTATGGTTCATATTACTCAATTATGTAGCTTAATATTTTTCATGTTTGAGTTTACAAGATAGTTATGATAAAAGATACACTGAAATGCATTAAAAGTAATATGTTTTATTCTTTTAATTTCACACCTTTTTTTATTAATCTTCTAGGAATATACCCATGTAGATATTTTGTATAAATGAGAACACATCTCTCAAGTAGAAATACAACATATGTATCAAGCAATGTTTTTCAGTTCATACACTGGCCAATGTATCAACATAACTATATTTTATCAACATTGCTCTTTGTCATATAGGTTTATACATGTGAGTTCACATCTCCTATATATTTGTATCCAACTCTAACTTTGTGTACAAGGAATTTGTGTACTGCATCAAATAATTGAGGTTTGAGCACTGTGCATAAAAAAATTGAAATTGAATAATATTATTATATTCCAAGATATCTGTGATCAAAATACTTAGAAATGTAATTACTTACCAGTGCCACTGAGCTGTCTCTTGAAAGCAGATATTTCTTGCCTTGACTTGGACTGGATGTTGTACCATCTTTTCTCGCAGTCATCGCTTGACCTAACAACGTTAGGAAATGCAGCGTTGATATTGGCTGCCACCTCCCCCCATGCCTCCTTCTTCATTCTGGATGTTACTCCCGGTCCAAACTTGCCCTTGATGATTGATTTCCGCTCATCAACAAGTTGGACCAACAGCAATGACTGGTCAGATGTCCAATTAGGCTTGCGTTTCATCGAAACAATGTGATGAATCCATCGCGCGAAGTTTTGACAGATGTCAGATTCACGTCTGCTTGTTTACATCATGTGACTGTCACGTGGTATAAATTTTTCGCCTCCAAACTGGAAGAGTGCTTTAAATTCTAAATATAGCACAGGGAATCCCCTGGTTACGACCAATGTCAGCTCTAAGAGTTACGCTCAGAGTTTCCTTTTCCTCTTAGCTAAGAGTTACGCTCAAAGTCATTATAACTACACTTTTAAGTGTAACTCTTAGCTGAGAATTTTCTTAGCGACTTAAGAGTATTCTTAAGAAATTTCTGAGAATTTTTCAGGTCACAAATCGGTGAAGTTAAGCAGCGTCGAGCTCGGAGAGTCCTTGGATGGGTGACCGTGTTTGGCAGCTTGACTCCTGAGAGTTTCTAGGACTTGAGTCCTGCCCCACAACGAAGCACATGTGACACATGTGGTCTCACCTTAGGCAAGTGAGTTTGTTCAAAATTGTCTCTGTTCACCCAGCAGGAAAATGGGTACCCGGTGGAAAAAAGTCATATGACTATAACCTTCTAGCGCCTAACAGGCAGCTTGGGTTATCCGGGGTAATAATGGCCTTGATTGTTAGCGCTATGAGCATACCTAGTGTGGAGTTTGGCGCTATATAAATGGACACATTATTATTATTATATATGTCAGGAAATACACATCACTACAGAGATATATGTTAGGAAATACACATCACTACAGAGATATATGTTAGGAAATACACATCACTACAGAGATATATGTTAGGACACACACATCACTATAGAGATATATGATTATGGAAATACACATCACTACAGAGATATATGTTAGGAAATACACATCACTACAGAGATATATGTCAGGAAATACACATCACTACAGAGATATATGTCAGGAAATACACATCACTATAGAGATATATGTCAGGAAATACACATCACTACAGAGATAGATGTCAGGAAATACACATCACTACAGAGATATATGTTAGAACACACACATAACAGGTTTGCTGAACCAATATTTCAACTTTGGTGAGCACCGTGGAAAAACAATCCAAACGGCAAGTGTCAGAATCTGACTCTGAATTGGATTCTCATTGTTACCATTATTTTGTTCTGAAAGATTTACTTTGCCTCGCTTTCTTGTCCTAGAACCGAAAGGTGAGCGCACCCTCACTTCCTGACTAAATCCGGTGAGCTGAAAAGTGTGACCAAATTACGGTCTGGAGGTTTTGTCAGGAAATTCCAAGCAATTAATCTAATTACTTTAAAGTATTAGCCGACATTCCAATCATCTGTTCTGCACACAAGACCGTTAACTTCTCAGAAGGTCTTACCTGCGATAGACACCAAAGTATAGCTGATGTATCAATTACAGATATCTTTTCAAGCTGTCATCTTTACCAAACGATTTATGTATGGTAAAAGTGACCTTGTGTATCTTTTGACTTTCGAAAACCCAATACTGCCGAGTTTTATCAAGGTTGGAACTTTTTCAATGGCAATGTACCTTTAACTGACTGTCCCGTTTAGACATATGAGGTCACTGTACAGAAACGTAAACGTGAGAGAGAATCAGCTACTCCTGAAAACAAGCTAGATTAATTGCACGTGAGAATCCCACATGCTTCTGCAGTTAAAAAGGTGACTGCATCAATTTTCTGTCAGACTGACCTAACTTGGGTATCATCGGAACACCCCAAATCCCTTTCTGAAATAATAAGCAATTAGTTGAAAAACAGCTCCAGATCCAAATCAACCAAAGGAACATCATCTTCTACAAAACAGAGAAATCAAATCTAATCAAATCGTCAAAATCTACTAAAGAGGATACAACGAAAAAACAAATTTAATCTGACGCATTGCCAAAGGCATTCAAAAACCCATAATTGATATGGATTGTTTGAATATATGGATACAGAAGTATCCGTCCGTGTGACCACCAGTGGCCACACCAGTGGTCACTCACCAAAAAGATGGTAGAGCAGTATTTCATGTAACTCTTCCTTGGATGAGTAACACATTAATCCAAAGGTATTGTCGAGGTTTATTGGGTTAACATTAACGTTATTCAACATCTAGGACATAAATATAACCAAATACCTTTCATCGTTCAAGAAACATACTTGACAGATAATGATATACTGACTTGTCGCCAATATTGTATGTACCATTATGCCAAAACTGTTAACCGTAAAGCATCTGGTGGCACAGCATTGTTTTTAAGCGAGGAACAGTACAGTCCTGTTTTGTTAAACACTACCCTTCAGGCAGTATTTTAATGATCACAAACCACTGTGGGGTTCAACAATTCACAATGACAAAGGTAAAGATTAGAGGAAGTATGAAATATGATCAGAAGAATACATGGTAAAGGACCAACAACCACTACCACTTTAGTCTTGATCTAAATCGTCAACATAAAGTGGTGATTCGAAGGTGCCGCATTGAACACTCTCATTATACTCATTTATGTTTATGGAAGGGAGAGGACCCCCTCAGTGTATTCTACGTCACAGTTCTTTGACTGTCAAATATCTTTGTTGGAATGTGTTGAATGTCGCTTATTCGCCAACGATTTGTTACTGTTCAAACTAACCTACCGGGCTTCAGTTGACCCAAAAATTGAAACAAAGATGTTTGTGAGATTTATGATAACTATTTTACAAACAGAAATCATTTTCGAATAACAGAAATCATTTTCCAATAATTGGACTGAAAATTCATTGTAATGCTGCTCTTGCATTTGCCGTAATTCATTTAGAAAGAGTCAAGGGTCAAAATTCAAAATTACACAAATCAGAGTTCATTTAAAAGTGCATAAAGAGTCACATATTGAGATAGGAGTCATGGGGCACGTCATCACTAGCGAGTGTGACCTCCCTGTTAATCCATATACGCCAACACACGTCTCCTCGTTGATGATGTCAGCAGGAATTCAGTTCCCCAAGTCCAAGAGAGTCTGTTTAAGTTCCTGTCACTTCGCTGGAGGTGGTACACGCTGTGTCAGCTGACGATCAAAATGATCCCAGAGATGTTCAATGGGGTTCATGTCTGGAGAACGCGTTGGCCAAGGCAATACGGTGCGATAACGTTGTGAAGGTTTTCTCGAACAATTCTCGCGGTGTGAGGCCTTGCTCTTGGCTGTTGTCGAAAGGACACCACACTTCATCCCTGTATCACAGCGCATTCAGATTTCCTCGGATGATAACCAGTCTTCGTGTTCCCTGGCCACAAATACCGTCCCATACCATGACGCCTCCTCCATCGAACGGATGAACAGTTACTTCAGTTTAGCGCCAGTCGCTCTCTTCTACGTCAAAAAACACGATCTTTGCCATCGTTTCTGAACAGACTGACCCGACTTTCATCTGTGAAGAGCATAGAGTTCGTGCCCATTACAGTCTGCGGTTACGATATGGTCGCGGCTATTCCACTGAAGGTACGGTAGGCTCGTATACCAGCCATACAAAGTCGTCGGCCTGTATCTAGTGCTGTCGTCGTAACGAATCTGTTCCGGTGGTGCATCTGCCGGATGTAACGGTCTTCGGCCGATGTCTCGACTCTTGGTCTTCCCAATCTTGGGTGGTCTTGGGTCTGGCCTGTTTGCTGGTAGTGGTTTATCAATTTGCTGCTGGTGGCCTGGCTGCAGTTGAAGGTTCTTGCCAGTTGACGTTGTGAAAGCCCCATATTGGCCATACCGATCGCCCTGTCTCGTTGCACTTGCGTAAGTCTTGGCATATTCCTGGTGGATTTTTGGTTACTGCTGGTTAGCTCTGTCCAACCTCGCTATTTATGCTTCAATCATGCAAATGCATTTGGGCCAATGTCCCACAATTACGTTTTTCACGTTTTGAAAATTGCACGATTCGGACGAAGTTTTCAAACAGTGTTATAGGGACCATATTCCGTTTTGGCGAATGCAATTACTTTAAACGTGATAACTTTCTTTTACACGGTAATTTATTTTATTCCGTTTCTAATCATTGTATTTTAGCATATTTGAAGGAAATTAAATTAGATGATAATATGTAGATTTTAAATTCTAAAGGTTCGTTTTTACTGTTCTATTAATTGTGATTATGGACTGAAGCTGTAGTGATCTTAGTCATCACTTTTATTGTATTTATGGCAGCGGATACCTGCAAAATTGTTGATGCGACATTAAGCAACATTTATTTACTCACTCACTCATGTACTCGTGTATTGGGAAATACACACTGGCTACTCGTGTATTGGGAAATACACACTGGCTTCTCATGTATTGGTATGATTGTGTCCTGTACGTTATCAAGCAGACACCACATTAGAAACTTCGATGTTAAAGTTAATTTTCCTTGACCCTCAATCTTAGTCAATCACATGATTTATTCTTTCAGTAGGGGTATAATGAATCAACTTTCCACTTTTAGCAATATTCCAGCAATATCATAGCGAGGGACACCAGAAATAGGCTTTACCCATTGTGCCCATGTGGGAAATCGAATCTGGGGCTTTGACGTGAAGAGTGAATGCTTTAACCACTAGGCTACCCCACCACACACACGAGCAGGGGCATAAACTCTGACAAACAAAACAAGAGTCATCAGAAGATGACATATCCCCTGTCCCCCTTAATTTTAAAGAACAAATCATCTGACAGCTACTTAAAGTCCAGCTTGACTTTTTTCTAAACTATGTCCAAATCGTTTCCATGGAAATCATGAGAAATAGAAATGCCAAAAATCTGTAAATAGCAAAAGGCACCATTTCAAAATTTGCCTTAAATATCTGCCAAGTTCTGTTAAAAGATACTGAACGCTTTTCGAGTTGTGCACCGGAAATGAAGCCCACACCTCCCTTTTGGGACTTGGGAAAAATAAAAATGCCAAAAATCTGTATATAGCAAAAGCACCACTTTAGGTTCTGTTTGATATGTCTACCAAGTTTTGTTGAAAAATATTGAACGGTTCTTCAGTTATGCTCCGGAAACGAAGCCCACCCCTCCCTTTTGGGACTAAGTCTGAATCGTTTCCATGAAAACCAGGAAAATAATAAATCACACAAATCTGCAAATAGCAAAAGGCACCACTTTGGCATCTGTCTCACATATCTGCCAAGTTTTGCTGAAAGATATTAAGAAGTTTTCCAGTTGTGCTCCAGATATGAAACCCACCCCTCCCTTTTGGGACTAAGCCCGAATCGTTTCCATGGAAACCCAAAAAAATAAAAATGACAAAAATCTGTAAATAGCAAAAGGCAATACTTCATGATTTGTCTCATATATCTGCCAAGTTCTGCTGAAAGATATTAAGAAGTTTTCGAGTTGTGCTCCGGAAACGAAGCCCACCCCATGAAGGGGGGATAACAATGAAATAAACCAGAACTCATGATTCTGGTGACCTTGACCTTCAAGGAATTATGGTCACAACCTTACCACTTATAACCCTAAGGATCATATGTACCAAATGTCATCTTACTACAATGAACACTTCTTGCATAATCAGGAACATTAAGTTTGGAGCAAGTTTCGGCTCAGCCAAAGGTAAACACATACCAAGTTTCATAGACTTACAGCATCAGACTTAGGTGTTACAAACACTTTGTTCAGACTACAGCCTTGAGGATGAACTCGACTCGTTCCCTTACATATCAATGTGAATGTTATTCTGTTATGGGGTTAGCAATAGAGATATGCATGATAGAACATCCCTGAACCATCCAATCACAGCATAGGTATCAAAACAAAGCGCAGCAGGAATAAAATTCAGATAAATTCTTGCAACATCCCCAGTTACATGCATAAGTACTACACAGTTCTCGTATATATGAGAAGATGAAAGTATCCCAGATAGTGCCAGAAAAGTTTTGAGTACATTTCAATTTGTCTATTGTCTACATTGTACGTCATATACAGACGAGTGGCTTCAGACTAGTGGCTGAAGTTGCAGACTGGCATCCTCAAATCAAAAGTGTAAATAAAGCAAGTTACAGCAAGTAAGGGAGACAACCCCTCATGACAATGTTGGCAGGCATAAAGAATTATATTTTGTTGTAAACTTCAAAACATCCAACTAACCATTCCTCATCTCTTCTGTGAGAACAGTGCCTTCCAAGCTTGGAATCTTCTCCCACTCGTGCAAGTCTGATTGATCACAAATCCACTTTCTCTTTGATAAATCTGAAAAAAGGTTACAAGATGATGTCTGTGGAAGAAAATCACATTCAAGATATGTTGGCAAATTTTAAGAGAGATCTAGGAAACTGATAGTCAGTCATGAAAACCAGTAGACAATCATACAATTAGCAACTCTGTACTGGAGCAACAATAAAAACAAGATAGTAAAACTCTAAAAGGATATTTCACTCCTTATAAACAATCTGAACAGATCATATGTCATGGGTCTTGAAACCATGGTTTTATATAGGACCACATGGGGAGCTGGGAACACAATCATCCAGAGCACAACCCAGAGATTGCTGGGTCTACGTGGTCTCAGGGACACATTCTACTCCCAGACGTCACATGGTAGTCAAGTCACTACTTCAGGGCTCCATGCAGCAACCTGCTCAGACCTCACGTGGTAGTCGAGTCACTACTTCAGGCCTCCATACAGCAACCTGCTCTGACCTCACGTGGTAGTCGAGTCACTACTTCAGGCCTCCATACAGCAACCTGCTCTGACCTCACGTGGTAGACGAGACTCACTACTTCAGGCCTCAGCACCTGCTCAGACCTACAGTCACTACTTCAGGCCTCCATGCAGCAACCTGCTCTGACCTCACGTGGTAGTCGAGTCACTACTTCAGGCCTCCATGCAGCAACCTGCTCAGACCTCACGTGGTAGTCGAGTCACTACTTCAGGCCTCCATGCAGCAACCTGCTCAGACCTCACACGTGGTAGTCGAGTCACTACTTCAGGCCTCCATGCAGCAACCTGCTCAGACCTCACGTGGTAGTCGAGTCACTACTTCAGGCCTCCATGCAGCAACCTGCTCAGACCTCACATGGTAGTCGAGTCACTACTTCAGGCCTCCATGCAGCAACCTGCTCTGACCTCACGTGGTAGTCGAGTCACTACTTCAGGCCTCCATGCAGCAACCTGCTCAGACCTCACGTGGTAGTCGAGTCACTACTTCAGGCCTCCATGCAGCAACCTGCTCAGACCTCACATGGTAGTCGAGTCACTACTTCAGGCCTCCATGCAGCAACCTGCTCTGACCTCACGTGGTAGTCGAGTCACTACTTCAGGCCTCCATGCAGCAACCTGCTCTGACCTCACGTGGTAGTCACTACTCAGTCACTACTTCAGGCCTCCATACAGCAACCTGCTCTGACCTCACGTGGTAGTCGAGTCACTACTTCAGGCCTCCATGCAGCAACCTGCTCTGACCTCACATGGTAGTCTCACTACTTCAGGCCTCCATGCAGCAACCTGCTCAGACCTCACATGGTAGTCGAGTCAGGCCTCCATCAGGCCTCCATACAGCAACCTGCTCTGACCTCACATGGTAGTCGAGTCACTACTTCAGGCCTCCATGCAGCAACCTGCTCTGACCTCACGTGGTAGTCGAGTCACTACTTCAGGCCTCCATGCAGCAACCTGCTCTCATGGTAGTCGAGTCACTACTTCAGGCCTCCATGCAGCAACCTGCTCAGACCTCACATGGTAGTCAGAGTCACTACTTCAGGCCTCCATGCAGCAACCTGCTCTGACCGCGTGGTAGTCGAGTCACTACTTCAGGCCTCCATGCAGCAACCTGCTCAGACCTCACGTGGTAGTCGAGTCACTACTTCAGGCCTCCATGCAGCAACCTGCTCCAGTGCATACCTTTTCTGTGGTTGTCCAGCCATATTCTACACAGCTGCAGCGCGAGGGTGGCGTTGTACCGCTGCATGTTGCCAGCAATACCCAGGTGGACTGGCTCCCCATTGTTGTACGAGTCCAGGGACGGCGTCACGTACAGACTAGCCTGCAGTCAGAGAAATCGTTTAGAGATCATTGTCTTTGACACATAGCTCTGCAGCCAACAAGCAGCAACTGAAAAAGGTATATAAGGAATTTTTATTCCTTAGTGACATATTGAGTAAAAATAATAAATATTTGTCAGAACATCCCCAGAAATTCATTTGAAAGAGTGAGTGAGTGAGTTTAGTTTTGAGCCGCTTCTTAGCAATATTCCAGCAATATCATGTTCCAGGACACCAGACTGACTGACTGAGTGAGTTTAGTTTTGAGCTTTTAGCAATATTCCAGCAATATCCGCGGTGGGGGACACCAGAAATAGCTTAACATATTGCCCAGCAATATCATGTTCCAAGGACACCAGAAATAGGCTTCACCCATTGTACCTATGTGTTGAATCGAAACTGCATTGCCATATGCAAATAATGTGATATTTTACGATCGTATTCAGTAATAGCAGGACAAAGTTATATCAACCTTCAAAAGTTGCAGTGGCTGAGTGGGTTAGGCGGCCGACTCTGAGGGTGTGGGTTCAAATCCCGGATGGGACTCAACCCCAAAAGTACTAGAATCTGTACTTTACTAAGAAAGTGTAATCCCAAATGTAACATATGTTACAACCTTCAGAAAATCCCCAGGATTTCTTGGAGAATGCCCGTGAAACTGCTTGTATAAATCGATGACAACAACAGAAGGATGTAACACGAAGACGAAGTGGTCTATATCCTCTGCTACTGTCTGATCTTGATGGGAAAAGAAATGTGACATTTTTGCTCACAACAACTAAAGGATGCACATATACTGCCTAAAACTGGGTTTCAGTGCTTCCCTGGAGCTTATGAATAAACATCCTAGGCTGACCTACCCCTTTCTCCTTTGTTCTGTTGAGAAGCACACTCATGGCTGCCGGTGGTTGGGGAACTGTGACAGCGGGAACGTTATGCTGTAACCATGGCAACATAGAATACAACAGTGGCAATAGTTACAGTCTTAAAATGATTTCAAATGTCAAGAGTTTTCATTCATGAATACTTGACACATGTTATGGAAAACAGCATAATATTATTCTTAACGTTTCAGAGTTAATTCTTGCTTTTTCATCAGGTGAATGATGATGGAGCATGCATTAGCTCTTAAACATTGTATAGGGAATAAAAAGAAGTCATTTTCCATAAAACGTGTCATTTATTCAAGTTCATCTAACTTCTAAATCCCCTAAAATAAGTTTTCATTCAGTTCTATAGTGACCTGATTACTGGACAGATATCACTGGTGTTGCTGAACACCTGTCATCTTCACAGGTCAAAATGTTATCAGTTCCAGAACCAAATAATCCAACACAGACCAGAACTCATTTTCAAGCTTTACAGACATGTAACATATAAATATAGACTGGGTTTAATATTTTCCAAGAGTTTCCATGATAAATCAAACTCACTCAGCATGATGAGCGAACGTTTTAACCACTATACTACCACACCACATGTTGATCAGGCTAATGTACAGGAACGTATTGTATACCACTATACTACCACACCACATGTTGATCAGGCTAATGTACAGGAACGTATTGTATAGCATGACAGTTTGGTAAGAGATTATCCAGTCAAAAAGACACTTGACATATGTAGCCTCTATCATGTTAATTCAACAGATTTAGTTTAGTTTTAGAGTTCAATGCACACATCCATTCATTATTACTTTGAAAATCCCTGCTTTCTGCCAAGCAATCTTGTCTATCGTGTCTCCAAGGACTGATGTGTGATCTAATCCAAGGGAGGTAACTCCACACACAACTGGCGACTGGAGGAAATTGGTAGAATCATATTCTCCACCTATGCCCACTTCAAAAATGGCCACATCAACGTTTTCCTTCAGGAACATGTGGCATGCCATGACGGTAAGGAACGAGAAGTACGCTGGCATTTGACGAGCATCAGGATCCTATTGAGAAAAAAAAGTCATTGCTAAAAAAGGTCTACCAAAGGTGAGTTTGATGTTTTAAAAAGCTCTCACAATTTGCAAGTTATTGGTACTATCTGCCAGTATTATCTTGTATTATCAGCATGATTATTGTCTGGAGTGAGTGAGTGAGTTTAATTTAACGCCGCAGTCAGCAATATTCCAGCTATATGGCGGCGGTCTGTAAACAAGTATGGACCAGACAATCCAGTGATCAACAGCATGAGCATTGATCTGCGCAATTGGGAACCGATGACATGTGTCAACCAAATCAGCAAGCCTGTCCACCTGATCCTGTTGGTCGCCTCTTACGACAAGCATAGTCCCCTTTTGTGGCAAGCATGGGTTGCTGAAGACCCATTCTACCCCAGATCTTCACGGGTCGATTATTGTCAGGAAATTTAATAACTTGCATACAAGTGTTTCCATTCATTTGAGTCACAATACAAATGTGAGTTGGAGATTGGAAATATATTCAAATTTACAAAATGATAATGGTAAGCAACAAATTGCTATTTTATCAAACACAGTTTTTCAGGAAGCAAGGGGTTAACTGACAATGTTAGTCTGGTTTTGAATAAGTGGTTTGATTGTAATGACACCACCACAGTTACGAGTACTGTCACTCCTACTGACCAATCACAAGACCTTTCAGATCACTTGCATTTCCTTCAACCAAAATGGTGGTCAAGTCAAGGCAATCCGATTGTTCTTCAAATTCTACATCGTATTAAAATGGGTCTTTCCACATTAACGACATCAACATTTCCACATTGTTCCAGCAAAACTGATTACAAAAAAGAAACATGACATTTTTTTTTAAACATCCAAGATTGACTCAAATCCTGCTATTGGTCGAAATTAGCACAGCAGTTGCCCTGTTGTTTACAAACCTGACCAGGGTTCATACAGACTATCAGACATCAAATTTAGGTCCTCTTTTCAAGGCCCAATTCAACAATTAGGCCTTAGGGCCTTTACAAGGTTAAAACAAATCTTTTCATAGTAAAATGTCGAAAGTTTAAGATATTTTAAGCCCATGTGAACCCTGCAGACTTTCTAACCCCCTTGTCTTGGGAGATGACAAAGTTTATCTGGTGATGTATCTATTGATGACAAAGTTTATCTTGAGATAACAAAGTTTTCTGTTGATGACAAAGTTTATCTTGAGATGACAAAGTGTATCTGGTGATGACAAGGTGTATCTGGTGATGACAAAGTGTATCTGGTGATGACAGAGTGTATCTACTGATGAAAAAGTGTATCCAGTGATGACAAAGTGTATCCAGTGATGACAAAGTGTATCTGGTGATGACAAAGTCTGTCTGGTGATGACAAAGTGTATCTGGTGATGAAAAAGTGTATCCGGTGATGACAGAGTTTATCCGTTGATGACAGAGTGTATCTGGTGATGACGAAGTGTATCTGGTGATGACAAAGTGCATCCAGTGATGACAAAGTGTATCTGGTGATGACAAAGTATCTCTGGTGATGACAGAGTGTATCCAGTGATGACAAAGTGTATCTGGTGATGACAAAGTGTATCCGGTGATGACAAAGTGTATCCGGTGATGACAAAGTTTATCTGGTGATGACAAAGTTTATCTGGTGATGACAGAGTGTATCCGGTGATGACAAAGTGTCTCTGGTGATGACAAAGTGTATCCAGTGATGACAAAGTGTCTCTGGTGATGTCAGAGTGTATCCGGTGATGACAGAGTGTATCTGTTGGTGGTGACAGAGTTTATCCGGTGATGACAAAGTGTATCCGGTGATGACAGAGTGTATCTGGTGATGACAAAGTGTATCCGGTGATGACAAAGTATCTCTGGTGGTGACAGAGTGTATCCGGTGATGACAGAGTGTATCCGGTGATGACAGAGTGTATCCAGTGATGAAAAAGTGTATCTGGTGATGACAAAGTATCTCTGGTGGTGACAGAGTGTATCCGGTGATGACAGAGTGTATCCAGTGATGAAAAAGTGTATCTGGTGATGACAAAGTGTATCCGGTGATGACAGAGTGTATCTGGTGATGACAAAGTATCTCTGGTGGTGACAGAGTGTATCCGGTGATGACAAAGTATCTTTGGTGGTGACAGAGCGTATCTGGTGATGACAAAATATCTCTGGTGTTGACAGAGTGTATCTGGTGATGACAAAGTATCTCTGGTGGTGACAGAGTGTATCTGGTGATGACAAAGTATCTCTGGTGGTGACAGAGTGTATCCGGTGATGACAAAGTATCTTTGGTGGTGACAGAGTGTATCTGGTGATGACAAAGTATCTCTGGTGGTGACAGAGTGTATCTGGTGATGACAAGGTTTATCAGGTGATGACAAAGTTTATCAGGTGATGAAAAAGTGTATCTTGTAGTCTGACTCACGCCTTCAACTTGATGCTTGGTGGTATCCAGCTTATTGTAGACTTCCCAAAAGTACTGGCTGAACAAGTCCTTAGCAACAGGCCTCCCATTGAGACGGAACCGCTCGTTCACAGTCACCAGATGGGGAGAGCTGAAACCATGGCAACACAAACTACATATGAAATTATGTGATAAAATGTTAGCACTATTAGTGTGCTGGCGATTAGGTGCCTGACTCTGAAGGTGTGGGTTCAAATCCCGGATGGGACTCAACCCAACAAACGTACTAAAATCTCTACTTTACTGAGAAAGTGTACTCCCAAAAATTTCATATGTTACATTTGACTACTTTCTAAATGGCATTGTGTAATCATAGAAATGTATTGTACTGGAATAAACTATCACATTGTATTGAGGAGTGATCAAATCACCAAGTCATGTCGTAGACACAAATACAATGGAAACCCACAGTGGACAGATGTGAAACTTTGGTTCAACTCTGACGCTCATAACAATACTAACAATAGTTACCTGAACATGCCTGTCTTGTAACCATGGTGACGAAGAATGCTCTCACAGAATGCACTGGTTGATCCTTTGCCTTTTGTCCCACTGATGTGAATGACCTGCAGTTTATCAAGGTCTGGAACCTGGGCCAAAATACAGAAATAATGTTGTGGCTGTTTAGAGATAAACTGGAACCTGGGCCAAAATACAGAAATAATGTTTTGGCTGTTTAGAGATAAACTGGAACCTGGGCCAAAATACAGAAATAATGTTGTGGCTGTTTAGAGATAAACTGGAACCTGGGCCAAAATACAGAAACAATGTTGTGGCTGTTTAGAGATAAACTGGAACCTGGACAAAAATACAGAAACAATGTTGTGGCTGTTTAGAGATAAACTGGAACCTGGGCCAAAATACAGAAATAATGTTGTGGCTGTTTAGAGATAAACTGGAACCTGGGCCAAAATACAGAAATAATGTTGTGGCTGTTTAGAGATAAACTGGAACCTGGGCCAAAATACAGAAATAATGTTGTGGCTGTTTAGAGATAAACTGGAACCTGTTTAGCCAAAATACAGAAATAATGTTGTGGCTGTTTAGAAACTGGAACCTGGGCCAAAATACAGAAATAATGTTGTGGCTGTTTAGAGATAAACTGGAACCTGGGCCAAAATACAGAAATAATGTTGTGGCTGTTTAGAGATAAACTGGAACCTGGGCCAAAATAAAGAAATAATGTTGTGGCTGTTTAGAGATAAACTGGAACCTGGGCCAAAATACAGAAATAATGTTGTGGCTGTTTAGAGATAAACTGGAACCTGGGCCAAAATACAGAAATAATGTTGTGGCTGTTTAGAGATAAACTGGAACCTGGGCAAAAATAAAGAAATAATGTTGTGGCTGTTTAGAGATAAACTGGAACCTGGGCCAAAATACAGAAATAATGTTGTGGCTGTTTAGAGATAAACTGGAACCTGGGCGAAAATACAGAAATAATGTTGTGGCTGTTTAGAGATAAACTGGAACCTGGGCCAAAATACAGAAATAATGTTGTGGCTGTTTAGAGATAAACTGGAACCTGGGCCAAAATACAGAAATAATGTTGTGGCTGTTTAGAGATAAACTGGAACCTGGGCGAAAATACAGAAATAATGTTGTGGCTGTTTAGAGATAAACTGGAACCTGGGCCAAAATACAGAAATAATGTTGTGGCTGTTTAGAGATAAACTGGAACCTGGGCCAAAATACAGAAATAATGTTGTGGCTGTTTAGAGATAAACTGGAACCTGGGCCAAAATACAGAAATAATGTTGTGGCTGTTTAGAGATAAACTGGAACCTGGGCCAAAATACAGAAATAATGTTGTGGCTGTTTAGAGATAAACTGGAACCTGGGCAAAAATAAAGAAATAATGTTGTGGCTGTTTAGAGATAAACTGCATGTCACTGCACACAGGGCCAATGACGAGGGACATGCATTAATGCATAGTTCGCGTTTACTGCACTGAATTAAATGTTAATACCTCTGAATTTAAGACAAAGATATCTGATAAAATTTGATAAAATGATTGACACCATGATTCATTTAATGGAAAATGAATAAATTTGCCCAACTCAAAATGATTCAAACCTACTTTTGCATGACAAACTGTTTATCAGTGTCACTCTTAATCTCACAGCTTAACTTGGGTGTGGCCATCTTGAATGCCAGTAGTCACGACAGAAGATGCTATGTTAGATGATAGCCCAGACTGTGGGTTTGTTGATGGGTCCGGGACAAATGAACGTAACTATTCCTGCAGTCATGATAGTGTTCTGGAAATGCAGCTCTTAAGTCATGATGTTTACTGATTTATTATACAAACTTGTAAATTTTATTATAAATTGTATATTTATATACTTATCCTATCTCACTGTATGCACCTCTCCTCTTCTTCTACGACCATGTGTGGAAACGTGCTGTAGGCTAAGTTGAATCAAATCTTGCTGGCCCTTGACCCGCCCTGACCTCTGCCCTCACTCCGACATCAACACCTGTCAATCATCTCTGTAAGCGTGCCGCTCGCTCAGATGATCATTTGACTACCTGTGCCTGTCATTCTCGTCTTGGAGCTTCTAGTAATCAGTGATGTGGGGCAGGTCGGGTGGGTCCTATCGCATGAGATAGGATAAGTATATAAATATACAATTTATAATAACATTTACAAATTTTTAAACTTATCCTATCTCACTGTATGCACAATCCCACGGTTGGTAGGCGGGTCGCAGATTATCCCGTTACTACCACCAGGAAAACCGCATAACCCAAGGAGGCCAGGAGAAAGCACCAACTCCTGATATGCAAACTCCAACTTGAGATGGGTTTCTTCATGTAACCCCTTGGCTTACACAGCACAAAAACTCTAGGGAGTGGGCGCTCCCGAATTAATGTGGTTTTCGGCCGCAACTTTTGACAAGCAAAAGGACGCAGTTTGGCAAGTAGGCCCCGCCGCCCCACGATTTATCAGGTGACCCCAGTGAATTAAAGTCGAGGGCCTTAATATGGCCAGTCCCTGCTTCGAAACTACCCCCCACAGACACACGCTGGAAGGCGGTGAAAGAGGGAATAGTTCGGATGCTCAACTAGTTTAACGTTCAGTACCAATCTCCCTAACGTACCAAAGGTGAGAAAGGACTCAGGAGCAGAAGGCTTCGAAAACCATGTAGGTAATCGGAAATCAACACTTTACTGACGTAATTGCTCAGAGAGTAGAGGTCAGTAAGCGGAGTGTCGATCATCTCTGTATGTAGCACAAGACTGGCCTCACAGTCTATCAAGTCATAACTATAGGAGAGAATAATCTAAACCCCACGGAAAAAAGTACTAAGACATGGATAACATCAATATCTTTTATTATGTACAGAGCAAAACCGACCAAACAGGACAATTTCTGTGAAGAGCCATGGTGGAGGCAAGAGCAAACGTCTCATGGGGCTTCGCTGTTGACGGTGGAGGCAGTTCAGCAAAGGCATAGGCACGCAGGATCGTAGTTCTCATCCAAAACGCCAAGGTAGTACGGGAGACCTCCGAGGTGGAGGCAGTAGACAATGGAATGAACAATCTCTTACGCAATCTGCGGCGATCCTGCGAGGCAGCTAGGTAAATCCTTAATGCACGCACCGGGCATAAGGACAGAGCCTCAGTGTCGTCTGGGCCCAAAATAGTGGACAACGGCGGAATCGTGAATGTGCGATCCGGCTGTCCTGGTAACTGATTCTTGGCAAGGAAATCCCACCGCAAACCAAGGAAAACTTTCGCATGTCTAGACCTTTCAAACCGTACCCGAGAGACATCTAGAGCATGCAACTCAGAAATACGAGCCGTCGTAGCCAAGGCCAATAAAAAGAAGGTCTTAAAGGAGACATGTTCGAAATCTTTCTCCTCCAAAGGTTCATAATCAGCTGACGTGAGATGAGCAAGTACAACGGAAAGATCCCAAGCTGGAGGCCGGAACTTCCGAGATTGGTCAGCCAGTTTGATAGACTGGAGGAGAGACTGGAGCTCAGGGACAGTGGACACCTTCACACCCGAGGCTGCTGCAATAACTGTGTTAAGAGCAGCCAAATAGGTAGATAGCGTAGAACCTTTGAGTTTTCTGGAGGTTCGGAGATGCTGAATGTACTCTGCCACCATCTGCGGGGACGCCGTAGTGGGGGATAAGATGCCCTTCTTCCTGCAATACGCTTCAAAGTTCTTCCATTTGTCATCGTAGAGTGACCTCGTAGAAGTACGATGCGCTGTGGTAATGGCAGTAGCTACACGCTTAGAATAGCCCTTAGCCGTTAATGACCGATGAAGATGCGCCAAACGTGCAGATGGAGCATCAACGGAGACCAATGGAGCTGGTCAGAGTGAGGATGAACCAGTAGTCTTGGAGGTTTACGAACCAACTTCTGGCCGGCCAATAGGGCGCGACCAAAAGCAGAGTTATCCTCTGAGTTGCTCGTAGCTTCACTGATACGCGAGGAAGAAGGGCCACTGGTGGGAACGCGTAAGCGTTCAGGTTGTCCCATGGAATGGCTACAGCATCGAGGTCCCGAGCCAGAAGATCCGGACACAAACCGAGGCAGCTGATGGTTGAAGCGGGTGGCAAAGAGATCTACTGTCGGCGTCGTCAACGGAAAGCAAAACGTCTGGAACACCTGAGGATGCAATTTCCATTCCGTTGGAGAGGGACGACTCGGTCGAGACAGAGAATCGGCGATGACATTCTTCACCCCCGGAATGTGATTGGCTCGTACCATGATGTGGAGACTGTCCTACAGATCGAAGAACCGTTGGGTCCACCGTAGCAGTTGAGTAGACCCCGTGGACCCCATCCTGTTGATATGCCAAACCACCGCTGCGTTGTCTGATCTGATCATGAGGGACGTTGCTCTCAGGACATCCTGCCAGTGACTGATTGCAAGCATCACTGGCCTGAACTCCAGAACGTTGATGTGACAGGTGCGATCGCCGGGAGACCACTGCCCTGCCACTTGTTGATTGAGAAGATGAGCTCCCCACCCGTGTAGAGACGCGTCCACATACAGGTGGTGAGATGGAACAAACGGCCCTAAACAAACTCCGTCGCAAACATTCAATTCTTCCATCCACCACTGGAGATGGGGATGGAGCTGCAGAGGTAGAGTGATCAAGGCAACGGGATCTCCCACTCTGATGTAAGGCGCTGGAAAGAACTGCAAGGGACGAAGTTGTAGTTGACCCCTGAAGCGTCCTGGCCTTTGTTGGCGCAACGATTCCACCACTTGCAAATGCTGGAACTTCAACAATTCCACTGACACTTGTAAATGAGCGTCCTGGCCCACTCTGTTAGCAACATCTCTAACAGTCACGTTAAACAAAGACCTGCCAGACCATGGCTGCCGAAAAAGATCAGTACGGAACCGATCCTCCCAAGTGGATAAGTTCAAAGGCCCCCTGCGACGTACAGCTGTGATGTACGAAAAGAAGTGAGCTAACTGATCTAGGATGGTCTGGAATTGCTCTTGCAACAAGACCATAGCTGCCCGAATATACGCTTCTTGATGGGACGTAGCATGCGCAACTGACATAGCCACTGCTTCGGTAGTCGTCAACACCATGTTGAGTGGAGCCATTGTCTTCCGCATGACACCATCCAAATGTAACAGCTCACGATCCTCAACCAGGAACGGCGAGAAAACCTTCTGTTTAGTCCCGAGCAAAGAAACATCATCATCCACCGGAGGGGAGACGATAAGCGTAGAGAAACCATGAACATGAGCGGATGCTAAGTTGAAGCGGGGAGCCGCGAACCCATCCTTCACCTTCCTGAGGTTACCGAAGGCCTCGTCTAGCGACGCTGCCAATTGAGAAATACACGGTCTAGGCGGGAACGTGATAGACCAAAATCACATGGCTTCATGTCAAAACTGGATAATAAACCCGCCGATGAGGTACTACGCTGTAATCGCAGACTATCAGCAATCCAGACAAGTAGTTGAGGCATGTCTACAGCATCGACGCTACCATCGGATATCGCCGTACCATCTGACGAGGGAGACGGCGTTGACGAACGATGAACCTCTTGTAAAGGAGGAGCTGGATAACTCGAAGGACGGGATGACTGATGAGCAGGAGGAGTTGGCACCTGCTGTCGTAACGCTGACACTACCGCTAGTACCATAGTATCAAAGTCCAAACGTTGAGCACTTGAAACCTCAGAGACCGGATTCCAGGAAACCGGCAACATGGGTCTGGCCCCCAGTCCCGATATAGGAGGAACCGATGTAACAGAAGGCGGTACCAAGGTATGACGAGGTACCTCCCGCCGAGGAACCGAACCACCAGCTGATTTAGGCACACTCCCATGTGCCAACGACGAAGTCGCAAGGTCCCGGCTATTAACAGCAAAGGTCGACGTAGAAGGACCAAGCGCCAAACCCGATACATGAGAGGTAAGCACCGAACTCGGACCAGTATGTGTAAGCGGGGCAACACGAACCCCGCGAAGAAGCGCTGAACCGGGAACATTGTGAGTATGCATTGCACTGGGAGCACCCTGAGGAAGCGACGACCCCCAGCCTGCATAAGGCAGTGCTGAATCAAAACCTCCCGAAGTAATCGCCGAACCGGAAACACCAGGAGGAAGCGCCAAACCGGGAACACCGAAAGGAAGCGCTGAACCAGGCATGCTGGTAGTAAGCATCGATCCGGGATAACCACTAGGAAGAGTCGATCCGGGAAAACCGGCGGTAAGCGCCGATCTGGGAGCACCGGTAATAAGCGCCGAACTGGGAACACCAGTAGTAAGCGCCGATCCGGGAACACCGGGAGGAAGCGCCGATCCGGGAACACCGGTAATAAGCGCTGAACTGGGAACACCAGTAGTAAGCACCGATCCGGGAACACCGGGAGGAAGCACCGATCCGGGAGCACCGGTAATAAGCGCCGATCCGGGAACACCGGGAGGAAGCGCCAATCCGGGAACACCGAGAGAAAGCGCCGATCCAGGAGCACCGGTAGTAAGCGCCGAACCAGGACCACCAGTAGTAAGCGCCGATCTGGGACCACCGAGAGAAGGCGCCGATCCTGGAGCACCGGTAGTAAGCACCGAACCAGGACCACCAGTAGTAAGCGCCGATCTGGGACCACCAGTAGTAAGCGCCAATCCGTGAATACGGGAGGAAGCGCCGATC